CTTACTATGACCTGGATGACGGAGAATTTGCACAGACATCACGCTGTCATATTGATATGCTACCTGAACAATGTCTTGAGCAACAGTACTGATGAAGCAGCCGTCCTCTTTTTTTGGTTCCTCTCCTTTCTTCCACTTTTCCTCTGTTTCCTCCAGGACACGGCCGATGTAAGTCTCCAGCTCAACCTGAACACAACATGCCACCCATACACTCAGTTTATGGTTATTAGACACAACTTGCACTAGAGTAGATTTCATCAGGTCAATCAAAATAAAAGGGAACAATCTCAGTAAATTTTGATATTCTGGTTTATAACTAAAAATGTGGCCTGGTTAGGATCTTGAGATTCAGTCAGGAGGATCCCAAAACATTAGGATTCAGCTACAGGAGTTCACGAATATCCACGACAAATTTAATGCCAATCTGACCTGTAGTTGCTGGTTTAGCTTACTGTGAACAGAATTATGGACTATACTGATTTACAGACCAGCATCAGTGTTTGACAATGTTGTTAGTGGAAAACAATACTAGAACTAAATCTAAACTGAGCTGTGGTTACCTGTTGTGTGTTCAGGTACTGGTCCTCCAGAAGTGTTAGTATCTCTGCAGGCAGCAGCCTTCCCAACGCTTCCATATCGATCTCAGTGGCCAGCTGCTGGTTTTGAAGGATTCTAACACAGAGAGAAGGAATCACAACTTTTATCACTGCCTTGACACATATTAACTCTAAAACCAAAAGGCAAAGGCCATCAATTCAAATACATATGCTGCACATTTGTACTCATCAATTTTTCATTTGACTTTATTCTCTGACTTTCAAAAAAAGAACAAGAAGCAACTTTTTGAAAACAGCATGCAACCAACTGCTCTGTGAATCCCAGGATGTTGCTGTGTAAAAAGAACCCAAACCAAACTGTACAACATGACTCAACCTGTCTTTTAGCTGCTATTGTACTATTCCTGCAGAACTGCAGGACCTGTATCTGGCCTCCAGCTGATTTCTACACTTCCTGAACAGTTGAACAACTTTAGGGCAAGTTGCTTTGTCCACTGCTCAGTCTGAGAAGT